CCACACAGACGAAAGAATAAAAAAACTTCTTGCTCTAACATCCAGTGTACTGTCAGTACTTATAAGTACCACAAAACAGAGTTAATCAACTCTAAAATTAATTATATACACTGTTCACTTAAAATAAATAGTCAAATCGTTTTCTAAGGTATTCATAATTAAAATAAATAAACAAATAAATAAAATAAGTCACTTACCTTTTGACATTAACTACTTTTTCGGAATAAGTCACTTACCTTTTGACATTAACTACTTTTTCGGAACGAAAATGATAATCTTGGCTATGCGATCAAAATGTCAGCTTAACTTATGCTAAAAAACTATTCGTTTTCCCCGCTAAAATACACATCATAGAACCCGTACTGCCATATATCTTGGAAGAGTGGATTTAAGCTAAGTATCGTCAGAATATTCGTAAAAATAGTTATTCTATGTAATTTTAATGTGAGTGATACTTATAAGTATCGCTCGCGCGCGTCCTTAGATAAAGGGTTCCATAGCGCGAGTTATCATTGTTTCCAAATACTTTTTCCACAATGTTGATATTTACATCATTATATCCATATATAATTAATGCAGTGCTTCTCAAAGTTTCAATATTTGCGACCCAATATTCAATCACATTTTCATTGCTCCCCCTTCATACAATAACAATGTATTTAATTCAATAATACTATACTTTGATGCTAAAGCTACAATACGACTTTAACCTTTTAAGGGCCACCGACGTATATAAACGCTTCGCTCAGCCAAAGCGTTAATTGCCCCTGTGACGTATGTATCCGTCATTCGGAAATACGATCTTCTCTGTGCACTGCTATCCATAAAATTATTCCGAAGGCTTTGGAATGCAATACAAGGACCTTGACAGTGTTTGCGAAGAATTTAGTTATTTCGGAGGATTTGTGCTTATTTATTCCTTTATTCCCTCCCCCCAATACATCACATACGCACACCTACGTGGAAAACGATGGCATTGGGGAGCGAATCGCGTAACTTTTAAACGTCAGTAAAGGGATTAATTATAAGACGTACAAATTATCAAAAGATAAGTGTTAATTTTTAAATATAATTTTATATATGACAGGCCCCCTAGGCCATTGGTAATTATTAATGATGTTCTTAATTTAGTATTGTTAAATTAATTGTAAAATTGTAAACACACACACACATTGTGCAGTACTGATACATTTATAAGTGTAATGAGTGTAAATGTGTATTTTATTTTTATTATGTCAAAGTATTTTGTTTATTTACTTTCAGTAAATTAATGATTTTTTAAATAATCTTTTGTCTTAGACTTTTCGACTTTCACGCCCCTTCGCTGAGTTATCATGCCCCCCCGGGGGGCGCACCCCACAGTTTGAGAAACACTAAATTAATGAATATAGTGATCTCTTTCCACCCTCCATCCCTGTATTTTCCTATTCTTGACAATTTTAATTTTGATCTTCTAAGATTAAACCCAGGATTCAGGTACCATTTTTAAATTATGAACTTTTTTAACCAGATGAAAGGAAAAAATATAAGCATTTATTTATTTATTTTTATTATTTATTTATTTATTGTATAACTTTAGAGTTATATAACCTCTGTATAATAAACTGTTTTTATTATTATTTTTTTCGATTAAACAAAATTAATTCGGATTTAGTTATATGGTGCCAGAAAATTATGAGAAATTTAGGCTATGTACAACTCACAGAATAATGCAAACGATCACTGGATCACGTTGAGTGGAATATAAGGGAAATAATCTGAAAACCGAGTAATAGTGCTATTATTTCTTTCATAAAACTCATCGTGGAAATTTCTTCCTTTCTCTCAGAAGATACGTGTAACAGCAAAGAATGCCAATCAGCCACCAACGGATGTAGCTCCAACAGAAAAATAATATCATGAGGGGCATAATGATTAGAGTGTGTAGAGAAGGTTGAGCCATACGTTAAATCTCGGTTGACATCCACCTAGACGTGCCCAAGGCACCGGCTATGGCAAAGATGTTTGAAACAAGAAAATGTGGCATGTTTAAGGGCAGCAGGTGAGAACAGAACCTGTACGCATCTACCAAGGGCTCTTCAAGATGTGTAGATGCTTCCCTGACAACCATTCTCTCCTGATATCTCACCTCTGAGGCAGAAATACATGTGTATAGAAACGGACACCACTTCTGCATTCAGAAAATGAATTAGGACAAATGTTTGAAAGGCCTTTTAATGATTCTGTATCTAGATGTCTTATTTCATGTATTGCTGTCAGGGGTGGTCCTGCAGCCTACTGAACTAAAGTTGTTCTTGTTTTGTGGCTTAACATAGCTTATTCATTGTTATCTCTTTCTCATTTTGTTGCATTTCTTCATTTTCTGGTTGTCTTCTCTGTTTCCTGAGCTCCTATTTTTCTTCTTGGTGTCACATTTTCATTGTTACGTGTGTAGCGGTATCTACATAAGCCAGTAACAGCCTCCGGACAAGGTGATCACTTTTGTCTAGTGGTCATGTTATCCGGCTTTGGATCCATAAGTCGCGGGCTCTATCCACCACATTGTTGACCCAGACGTGATCTGTACATGCAACCTTCTGATCTGTCATGGCACCATCTACCCTCAAAAAGAACAATCAAAAGTCGTCAGACTCACTTGACCCACTTGACGCAGTGACCAAAGTCGTCAGACTCACTTGACGCAACACCATCAATTAACAGCAACAACACACAAACTCGCCGTATTAAAATATCTCGTGCGTTCACCTATCCACCGACTCACTGGTGGGAGAGTACTGTAGCGGTATCTACATAAGCCAGTAACAGCTTCCGGACAGAGGTGATCACTTTTGTCTAGTGGTCACTTTACCCGGCTTCGGAGTCATAGGTCACGAGCTCTATCCTCCACACGTGCTATATTTTACTGAATGGATATTTAATGACTAGACAGGCACAAAACTCTCCAAAAGAACGTTCTTGACAGCGACACACAAAATATGAACAAAAAAAAAAAAAGCCACGCAACACTTTTTTTGTGAAATAATACTAAATGTCGCATAAAGAGAACGAGAAATGGCTGCAGTTGGTGATATTTTGCCTACTACTCATAGCAACATTTCCCAATTTATCGCTTCCACCCGTCTAACCAAAAATGTATCATTTAATTGTTTATTGCAAATTTAATGAATACACTTCAGAAGTATATTAAAAGGTATTGAAAATTGCAATATTGATACTGTTTTATAAAAAAGCACGAATACATCATACGAGTTTATACGAGTAATTGCTTTTTTTAAGTAATGTATTTTTCTATAGAAACTTATTTGAAACAAATTATTTTAAAATTTGACTACAAAATATATGTGAACTAACTATAAACTTAAATATGTGTGTCTTTTTTTTAACAATATTTATACTAAAACTTTTAATGGTAAAATGTTTACAGTCATAGATGAAATTCATCGCTATAAAGATGTAAAATTAAAATCATTTTTTTTAAACTTCTTTTTTTCTGTTGAGGAGAAATCATGGATAAATATTAAAATATTTTATTTAAATTCATTCGCTCAAATATATTATCAGCCTTTTATTGAGGTTGAGCCTACTTTTCTTTTGATCGCTGCTGAGCAATTCCTGTTTTAACGGAAAAATCTACATGGCTCCTTTCATTTTTTTCTCTCAATTTTCTTTAAACTCTATTTCATCGATTCAATACTCACTCTCTTTCAAATTTTTGAACTCCAGAAAAAAAAGAAAAAAAATTCCATAGCCTCTTACTCCGACTCCACCTTGAACCCCATTTTGCTTCCCTGAGATCTCATGCTCAGTATGCAAATGGAGAAAAACAGCTCCAGGAGTGGGTGGAGAGGAACAGATGGAGTGAGCTGGGATGGGCAGACGATATAGAATCGCAGACGATATTGCTGCAGAAGACAACATGGAAGGTTCTTCTCTCATTGAAGGTGACAGTCGAGAGCGCCTAAAAGCATCCTTAAGGATATTTTCTCATCCGTAACGCCTTTTCCGATGGTTCTGTTGTCCTAACTCCTTCTGACGTCACTGGATTTTTAGAAAACTAGGGGAGGGGTGGTAGTCACTCCCTTCTTATCCTGTACCAGACGGGGAGGATTTTAAAGCGAATAAATGGAGGATGACACACGTATTTTTTTTACCGCGTGTGTATCTTTCAGTCGTTTGACTTTAGATAAGGAATGGGGAAGTAACAGGGAAAAAAATCAATAAGGTAAAAAAAAGGGATTTTTTTGTTTGTTTTATTTTTACCCTGGTGGTTTCTTCGATGGTGGATAAATTTTTTCATGGATGTTGATGAAAATAATGAATAAAAAAAAGTAGACGCGAGTCTTGAAAGATAAATGTAGGGAGAAAGGGGAAAAAAAAGATGAAGACGAGGGAAATTTGTGCGTAAAAAATAAGTTTACCGGAGAAGATACGTTGGGTGAAGAGGGCAATGTAAAACACTTTTTTTTTTTCATTATGTTTTACTTCTTTGCCAATCTTTCCTCGAAAGACTGCGAATGAAAATAAAACATCAGTTTTTTTTTACCTCGTTTTCCCCGCAGTAAAAAAAAGAACTTTTAACATTTGGAATGGGCAATAATTATTTCATAAATTAAAGAAGGTTCATGAACAAAGGATTTTTATTTTTATTTTTTTCGAATACTATTATGCATATAAATAAAGATATAATATTAAAAAAACAAAAACAAATTTTAAGTCAATTCCTACTGATGTCAACAAAGAAAAATTTTATTTTAGGTACTTTTTATTAAATAATTACAATTAATATAAATATGCATATACTTATCACAGAATCACACTATGAAGTGGCAAAGTAAAAAGCGATTTTCTTTCCAATTTTCCTTTTCCCTTTCTATGTATGGTGCTGGACTATTATTTTTGTTTGTGTGTGTGTGTGTGTTTCTCTATTTAATTATTAATTAAATTTAATTATTCCAATAACACAGTAGAGTAAAAAGAAATCACAATCTCAGAAACCAGGCCATCCCAGGTGGGATTCGAAGCCACGACCTTTGGATTAGATACCCAACGCGCAATCCCTTGCGCCACAGGCACACAACGAGCACCTTCACTTTTTATATATGGTGTTGGACTATTATTTTTGTCTTATTATTTATTCATTAATTACATTTCATTAATGGGTTAATATTTGAAAAAAACTGTATGAACATCAAGTGTCGTCCACTACATGTTTAAAAAAATGTGTTTGAACTTGAGAGGATGAATAAAAAGTATTTTATTAACGATTGAAAATTTGAACAAGACATATATACATATATATATATATATATATATATATATATATAAATACATATAGGGAGAGTGTGAACTAATTGTAAAAATTGAAAAAATATTTTAAGTACGATATTAAAATATGTCATAAACAGTGTTAATCTACCGACATATATTCTGATACCAGTTTCTTAAGCAAGAATTAAATAAAAAGAATGTTTTTCTCTTTTTGTTAATAGGATACTAATGATTATAGTTATAAGAAACTAAAGATCATTTAGATCTTTTAATGAAAAATTTTTCAGATTTGTTTTTCTCTAGGTTTTTAATTATTTTTTTATCCGTATACCATAAATCTTTTTAGTACTCTTTTCACTTTAAATTAATCAATGAATATCAGTTAGTGGCAATAGCTTGTTTGACCAGATTGAATATTTTTATTGTGCTATAGATATGCTCAACAAGTCAGGAATTCTTGATTAACAAGCTATTTTGTTCCCTCTTTTTTATTTAATCTTTAATTCTTTTCATTTTATTCAACGTTTACAAGGTCTAAAGAAGTATTTAAATTTAGAGATCAGATTTATTCACACACATTGTGTGTGTGGGATATGTTTATCTTTAGTGTTCTTGAGAATAGAACTATTCAAATAAAGTAGTAAAATGACTGTGATAATGTAGAATATGTATCTAGATTACTAGCATTACTGTGTTATTATGCAGAATTTTTACACAGAAATAGCATAAAATTCACAAAATAAATAACCAACACCATAGGGTAAAGTTTATAGAGTGCGAGAATATATATTACATATAAAATATTTCTAAAAAGTTTGTTTTTGGAACAAATTTTCTAGAAAATAAATTTCCAATAATTTATTTTTGTATTCAACGGAAAATAAACTGAATGACTTAGTGATAAAGTTATTTAAGTTGTGCAAGAGATACGCGTTTCTTTAACAAAGTTAAACTGATTTCAAAGCATCATAATTCTTTTTAAAATTTAAAACTTAAGAAGACATGGTACGATTTGCGCAAAAATTTTAAATTTAAGGATTTTCAAACATTTTTTCATTGCCTCCTGAGTGTGTATACTACGTAGAACAGATTTTGTTCTCAAAATTTCATAAATAGCTAGCGATTTAATTTTTTAAAGAAAAAAAAAACCTAAAATTTGGGAAGTGATTTTAAAATGCTATTCTCCAACAAAATTTTACGTACATGCATAAAATTTGATTGACAAGTACGTCAAACTATGTGTAACAAAAGTTGGTATGTATTTTGCGATAGCATGATTGGTATTCGTACAATACTTCTTTTTATGAATGCTTATTGTAAATACCTTAAAAAATGTATCAATTCTGAGTTCAATTATTTTTTAAAAAAATAAGTATTGCTTTGATTCAAAAATGCATACCAACTTTTGTTACATGTACTATTGGCACTGGGTAAAAAAAATCAAAGCATTAGGCACAATAGAAAAAAAAACCTTAGCATTTTAAAACAAGATAAACAAGTTATTTTATCTTTCTGAGATAAGTAAGTTTAAAATTTTGATTTGCCATAGGGATGTGAATAAAAACGTACGTAAAGGCTATCATAATTCTCTGCTTTTTAAGATTAGAGCTTTCAAATTTTGTGTGGTTATAGAAAAGCATATAAAAAATAATTTTATGCTAAAAAAAATAAATAGATTAGATTTTTTGACCGATTTTGGTCAATTGAATCGTACTGTGTCGCCTTAAATTCTTTTAATTACATATTGAAATATTTTCATAATTGGAAACGCGCGTATGCTTTAATCTGATAAATCATTAGAAACGAAATTCCATCTATCTGATTTCTAGGGTAGACAACTGCTGAATAAAAACATTGGAAAAATTCAAATTAATTTAAGAGTTTTGAATTTGAAATAAGGGTTTTTAACAGGAATTCACAGAGTTATGACATCCATGATTTGTAACAAAAGAAGTTGATTAAATATATTTATTTTTTAAAAACAGTTAACTTTCTTTTTTTTTAACTTTTGAAGATTTATGGGTTTTATGGATTATAGTAGCGTTAGTTTCATGTGTTATCATGGAATCACAATCACAATGAGCCATTTTAATCATTAGTATTTTAATACATGAAATATTACTTATATGTATATTAACGTGTCGCGCTTACACGCCACAGGTCCGGGGTTCAAACTCCGGACTAGTCAAGGTCGACTCAATCTTTCATTCATTCACTGGGTCGATAAATGAGTACCAAGCTAAGCTGGACCTCTCCAGATTTTCTGGTCGTGAATTTCGATCCACCAGTGCCAATGGGGACAGTAGATCTTCTGCGCCCAGGGTCAGAAATGAGCTTAAATCGGCACTGGTTTCACGTCAGACTGACCACCTGATTGGATTATCTCAGATGCCCTCAGTGCCTGATGTCTTGAAAACTGAGATGGGCACAGAAGGACCTTGGACCTCTGGGGCTGTTGCGCCACTGAGTTTAGTTTAGTTTATATGTATACTAAAAATATTATTTGATACATTGAAAAGAATAAATATATTGCTACATTATATTTATTATGTTGTAACAGTTTTAAATTATTTTGATTTCCAAATTAAATTATTTACAACTAAAATATAAGATCTTTTTCAGAAAATACTATATATATAAACTAGGGGAATTTAAAATCACTCAAAATACAACGTAAGTTCTCGTAATCAATGGAAAATATTTATACTCGTTAATTAACACAGTGTCTTTTAAGACTAAATAATTTTCTAATGAAAAATTTACCCTTTTGCAATTGTGGAGGGAAAAAAACGCCTACAATGAAGGAGAGGAAAAAAACTTATCAACAGATTCGGTGTTAAAATTAAAAAATTTAAGAGCAGCTCCTAAATTTTAGGTTGCAAATTCATGAAAAATACATCGTATTTCTCACACAGCTATCAACATTTTAATCCCATTCCGAACATTGTGTTTAAGTAAAATATATTTCTCAACGTAAGTGGATACAGAAACAAAGTATAAAATCAAATCAAACTCAGAATATGAAATGTGAAGGCCGATAATTTCAATAGACATAGGCACCGACAATTTGTGTGAAAAAAAAGCAAGCACATATCCCATTTGCTAAATGTAATGCACAGATAGATGACACTTGGATCACAAACTAATATTATTAATGAGTAAATTATATTAAAAAAATATATTAGAATTAATAATAAATGCAATACTTCTTTTAATTGCCTTTACATAAAGTCCCTATAACATGTTGATCTACCTTAAAGGCCGTATCACATATACATTTTCCGTGCAACTTTTTCTTCCAATTTTTTGCCTAATCTAAGGGGGAAGGGTTGCATTAAGCAAAACAACATGCTCTGACGTCAGCCGCGCTCTATCTCCACATTGAAAAATTACTCGCCGATTTTTCTGCTTCTCGGAAAACGAGCATCCAAAATTATTTCTTTTATTTCGTTCGCGCTTTTGTAGATGGGCGTAAACAGGAATGGAGCACTATTCAATTTTAAATAGTAAACGCCGTTAAAATATTATACACCAATAAAATATTATATGCCATATCTGATGAGTTTGACGAAACCGAAGCCGCCATCTTGTTTATGACATAGGGCGCCGAAGAATCCTATTGGCTGGAATTTCAAGCAACTTTTATTTGGAACTACTTTTTGAGCTCACTAGCAAAAAGTTGTTCTAAAGCCGTTGCTATAGCAACTAAGGAAAAATTGAACGAAAAATTGCTTAAAACGTGTATGTGTGATACGGCCTTTAAACATCATTTTGAGGTATTTTATTATAAGTATATGTGTGAAATGAGGCTCCACGAAAACATTTTCTAGTGGAATGGATTCCACGAAAACACCTTCGAGTTCTAGGGGTTCCATGAAAAAGTTTGAATACTGGCCTAGACATTTAGTGGAAAAATGTTTGATCTGATAATGTAAGAAGGAGTACGAGAGAAGTGAGGCTGTATGAGATAGAGTTGGAATTCAGCTAGAGATGCTGCATCAAACCAAGAACTAGAATCTAGGTTAAAAACCTCATTTGATACTGAGCAGTAAAAGCTGATGTTGATATTTTGTAAATTGCTATTTATATCGAATGTGTAAAAAAGAAACAGAGATCTAGTTATGAATAATTATTATTAAGTTACTATATTATTAATTAGTTTTATTCATAATTTGTTTTGCATGTATATGAAAATTATAAATATGGGGGAGTAGGACCGACTCTAGCAGTTTTGCCGCCCCAGACAAAAATGGAAAATGCCGCGCCTTTCTCTCTCTCTCTCTCTCTCTATATATATATATGTAGATTTATTCTCTACAAACAAGAGATAACATCCAACAATCACATTCGAAACACACACACACACATACATATATATATATAAGACAATTCGAAATTAAGGACATAATTACTTGTTATTATATCAAACGAGTGAAATGTAAGAGAAGGAATCGTCGATTTCAACAGGCCAATTTCTTCGAAAAATAGAGTCTATTAATGGTGGGGATCACAAGCATTTGTATTAACTTATAATAACTACACTTAGGACTAAAATTAAACATTTTCTGTAGCTCTCTATCTATCAGAACCTCTTATTACCCTTGTCCTCTTTTGGATAGCTCACACGGACATCGTTAGGGTGAAAGGAATATCTGTTGTGACCTCACTCCGGGATGGGGAGAAATTTACAACTGAAAGATGTGTAAACATATTAAATAATTTCATGCTTTAACATATACTCTCTCCTGAAACCCTTCAAGTTTAAACACAAAAGAAAACTGTCATTAAATATACAGAACATAAAA